CTAGAATACAAACATCTTAACACAATAACTAAGAAAATGACATGAAGGCTATGTTAACCAGTTTGATGAAAATATTTCAAATTGTATGTGAAAACACCACACTGTACCTCATGATAGCATTAATATATACAGCTATCATTTAATAATAATAATAATAAAAAGAGTAGCCCACATCACAAAGTCCCCAAACTACAAATTTTGGCGTGGATGTGCAGAGAAGGGAACACTTCTGCATGACTGATGGAAATGCAAACTAATACATTTCTTTTGGAAAGAAGTTTGGAGAACACTTAGGGAACTAAAAGTAATCCTGCCATTCGATCCTGCAATTCTTCTATTAGATATATATCCAGATGACCAAAAATCATTTTACAACAAAGATATTTGCACCAGAATATTTATTGAAGCCCAGTTCATAATTATCAAGTCATGGAAGCAGCCCAAGTGCCCATGAATGGATTAATGCGTTGTGGTATGTGTATATCATGGAATATAATGCAGCCATTAAAAAATATGGCGACTTTACATCTTTTGTGTTTACATAGCTGGAGCTGGAACATATTCTTCTTAGCAAAGTTATCTCACAAATGGAAAAAAAAGTATCCGATGTAATCAATACTGTTATGAAACCAATATATAATCACCCACACATTCATACGAATGATAAAACACAACTATAGCCTAGAATGAAGAAGGGAAGAAGAGGGTGAAGGGAAGGAAGTGGGGAAGTTGGGTGGAGTGAGGATGATTGGTGGAACCTCACCTTTCATGCATAATGCACGGGTACATGTCAGATCTATTAAAAGTAGAGTATAAATGTCTTAACATATAATTAAATGAGGTGAAAGCTATGTCAACCAATTTGATATAAGCATTCCAAGTTGTATATAAAATCAGCACATTGTACCTCATAAATGCATAATGTACTGTTATGATTTAATTTTAAAAAGAACAATAGACCTCCTTCCCTTTCCCTGTTATAATCAAGAATGCAACTAGACCTAGTCCAAATATTTTAAAACTAATGCCTGTCTTTCAGGTTTATTTACAAATCAATCTGTTTTCCGCCACCCATCCATTCATTCTCCCAAGTATCTACATCCTCCCCAGCAAAGAAATGTATTGCTCTAAACAGAATTACTTAGTTTCTCATTTCCCCCCTTGCCTCTGAAAAAGTTATAAAAATATCTGAATCGTCTTGGGATCTTGGATGAATACGGAAGAGTAAATAAACCTCTTTCTTTTATTAATATCCCTCAATTGTGAGTTGATCTTTCAGGAAACCTTATGGGAAAAGGGGAAGTTTTCCCTCTCTCCACAAAGTGAACGCAAAAATAAATAATATTTGGATTAGAGAGTAAAACATACCATAAAAATTGAAGCAGGATAAGAAAATAGGGAATAACAACTGTGGACTATAAATAGGGTAGTCACAGAAGGAGGTGACATTTGAGCTGAAAGCCAAAATTAAGAAGGTGGCTAAAGAACATTCTAGGCAGAAGTAAGAGTTGTATAAACCTTTTGAGGTTAGAATGAGTTTAGCATATTTGAGAAATGAAAAACTGTCATTAGAGGTAGAGTTAGGTGACAGCTAGACCAAATAGAATAACATAGGCCACATTCAAGATTTTAGAATTTATTCTAAGTGATGACAAAGCCATTAGACACTAATGCAATGAGTGACACGACCTTCTCTATGTTTTTGTTACTGCCCACCCAGGTTGTACTGCCCATTGATGTCGGGGCTTCAAGGGAGAAAGAGTTTATTCTGCAGAGCACTAAGTGGGGAGATGGGAGAAATCTCCCAAATACACCTCCCCAAGAATCTGGAGGATAGGGTTTTTAAGGATGGTTTGGTAGGGGACTAGGTAATCAAGTTCACTAATTGGCTAAGTTTGGTGTAAAATTATAGGCATGCACACATCATTATTGGGGTCTGGAAATCATCTTGTTTTGTTTCAGCTCCTGGCATCATGCTTGAGTTAAGCGGGTTTCCTTGATATGGGCCGCTGGTCTGGGTGGATCAGCCAATCTATTAAAATGCAGATCCTGGAAGATGTCTTAGAAACTATCTTTAGGGTTTCAAACAGTGATGTTACCTACAGAGAAAAGTTAAAGATCTTTATAACTAACAGGGAGATAGTTAAGAACCTTTATAACTAAAGATATAGTAAAGATGTAGTCACATTCTGTGACTACAGAGTGGCAGTTATAGAGAAGCAAACAAGGGGACAGTGGCTGATTATTATTATTATCTTTAGTTAAGCCTGTTCCTTGACAGGGTTCTGGAGTCCTTATTCTAGTTCTTTTTTTTTTTTTTTGAAATTTTTTTTTATTGAATGGTAACTATGTACATTAATGCATTTCTGGGGTACAGTGTGGTGTTTTCACATACAATTTGAAACATTTCATAAAACTGGTTAACATAGCCTTCATGTCATTTACCTAGTTATTGTGCCAAAATGTTCATATTCTATTCTTAGAAAAGTTAACTTGTACCCTTTTAAGATAAACCACAGAAGTGATCCCTCCAATCCCCCTCCCTGCACCCATTCCCACTCCCCTCTCCCTCCCCCCTTCCCGTATTCTTAGGTTATAGCTTTCATATAAAAGGTATAAATTAATTTCATAATAGCAGTGTGTACATTGGATACTTTTTCTTCCATTCTTGTGATACTTTGCTCCAAAGAACATTTTCCAGCTCCATCCATATGAACATGAGG